TATTTTGATCCAGTAAAAGTATCCTGTTTGCAAACTTTAGACTATGGAACAAGTACTCATAACCGTTTCCTGTTTTCATTCACTCTCTGTGCTACAAAACAACATTGTATCATTAAAAGCTATACTTATGTTTGTCTATGTGATTTTGGAAAAATTAGACTCAATATTAGACACATATAATGTATGTTTAAAGCATAAATATTTCATGGCAATAAAGAACTCCTAGTAAAAAATATTGCCACAATTGTCTTTTTCCCTCTCATACACAAATGAACAGAACTAGAGAGAATTAGCATTAGCTAATGATACACAACCATATGGCAAGTTTATCAAATCTAATTGTTTTAAAAAAATCAAACTCAACATTTTTTATTATAATGAATAGTAATTATTCCTAAATTGTGGAAGATATAGAAGCAGCAATGACTGGGTTTTTTTTTTTTGTACAATCTATTTTAAATGTCTGTCCTTCCCTCATTTGTATACAAAAAATCTATTTTAAAATGCCCTGTACTTTTCTCCACATAAAAGCAGTAGCCAAAGATGCAAAAAACTGAAAGTATATTAAAAACTATTACTTAACAATTGGTCAAATGGAATTTTTTCAGGCTGGAAAAATATTGACAAAGGAATATTTTATAGAAAATCTTCTGATATCACCGATCAACTACAATACATTGCATAATCAGGAAATCCTGCAATCAAAACACAACAAAAACTCCTTATTACAGTTATTTCCTAGCTAACATATTGAGGTAGTAGAAGCAAAAGAACAAATATGAATGCTCTAAATTATTTTCAATTTATTAAGCGCCTAAGTGTGAAAACTGTAAGAAATGTTAAAAAAACAGGAAGAGCTATATAGTTTTTGCCTTTGACCTTAGGAACATATTAGTCAGTATGATAACCTTGAAAGATGCACTTTGTGTATCAGATACACTGTCAAGATTTCTCTTACAATAAGGAAGTCTCATATACTCTGTGTCTAAATTAGCAATGTCTCAATAAGAATGGAATACTAATAGAGACAAATAGATGGGTCATTTCAAATATTTTACAAGCAGCCTTTTTTTTAAATGCATGGACCCAGTTTATAGTCATAATACAATTGCAGTTCAAACTATTTTATTCATTTCATTTGTTAAATTTGTATTCTGTTTTTTCCACAGACACGTTTATTTTACTATTTATCAAATTTTGAAACTGCTCATCTCCTCAGCCTCCAGAGCAGTGTTTCTCAACCTTAGAAGCTTGAAGATGGGAGGACTTCAACTCCTAGAATCCCCCAGCCAGCACTGCTGGCTGGGGGATTCTGGGAGTTGAAGTCTACCCATCTTCAAGCTACCAAAGTTGAGAAACACTGCTCCAGAGGGAGGCTACATGGAGATCTCCCTCAATTTTGTCAATAGAACAACTTTATTGGACAGGCTTCACTGAGAGGGTGAACTTGAACCTGGGTCTTCCAAGTTGTAATTCAACAACTTAACTGCAATACAACATTGACTATTACTTCAAAAAGTTATGTCCAATCCCAAGGAAAAAAACATATTTTTAAAGTATTCCTACATATGTCAAACACATGTGGCCTAAATCATATTTTTGCCTTTTCAATTTTTAACTCTGTACTGCCTTATAAAATAAACATAAAGTGGATAAAATATTATCCACTCAAGCTAAAAACCAATCTGATTTTGTCCAAATCATCAAAACTAATATACCAACTCTCTCCATAACCATCTCATTTAAGACTACAATTTGTTATGCTTGTTTTTTTTTAATCAAAAATTTTCCCCATAGTTAAATTATACTTTTTGTGCTTTTCAAAAAGACAGAATAATGACTCAGCAACTATGATACTTTGCTCCAGTTTACTGTAGTAGTGGATAAAATAACAAGGAGTTAGTTTCAAATATTAACACTTGAATATGAAGTCCGAGAACTACTTTTTCTTCAGGTGGGAAAAGGAAGTCCAGAAGGAAAACAGTGTAAACAATGTTTGATTAGCCTATGTTACCTGACTCAAATCATTCACACCCTAACATACTTCACCATTTATGAGTTTCAAGGTTCAGGCAGTGAAAAAAAACAATTGCTTTTGCCAGAACAGAATGACAGATATTCTGCCTTATTGATATTTTATTAAACTTGTATCTGATATTTCTACCAGGAATAGGCAAATAATAAATAAAAATAACATTAGAATTTTAACTTTTCAGAAGTTTAATTCAACACTTCATTGGGCCTTACTCATGTTTTCATTTACTTCTTGCTCTAATTCTGGTACCACCAAGTATATTTAATTAGTAAAGTAAAGTAGACAAAGTATCATTAGCACATAGCTTCAGGACTAAAGCAGCAAAATGTAGCTACTATCCTTCAAGTCAGCATTAATAATCTTGCCAATGTATAATTAAACTTTACAGGCTGAAAACCTGCATTTAAACAAAAAGTACATCCTCCTTAGTTAAAAATACAGAGTTGGAGTATCCAATCCAAATATCCATTACAGAAGAGGGGAAAGGCACTTTTTGCAGGTTTCCCCTTCTGAGGATCAGTCCCAAGAAACTGTGGGACACTTTAGTATGAGAGTCAGGGTAGTCAGATAAAGATGAAATAGACTGAAATAATATAACTGCTCATTTCCTCCAGTGGAAACCCTAGTGATAAACCCCCTTCATAATGGAATGCTATAAACCTACAATAGTGCTAATAAAACTTCTCTCTCTAAAAGAATTTAACATTTTGAATTACAATGATAGAAAGGATCCTGCCAAGCACAGCCTTGTTACACAAGTTGCAGATTCACAGGAAGACCAAAAAAAAAAGCATAAGGAAGCAACTTGGCAAGACTTCTGAGTTACCGAGAAATTCAACAACTATTTCCACATTTTGCTTTTTCCCAGTTATGACCAATATTTGATGCAACAGTTATTCAGAAAGCCCCAAATAAACGTTTCCCTCCAAAAAAGAAAATTTAAAGCCTATTAAAGAACCTTTCTGTAGAAAATCTCCCACTCCCAAATTCCATATGTTCAATCAAAATTTTTCTCCCAACTCTGGAATTGACAGTGAGATATAGTTGGGCTGCATAAGGAACATAATAAGAGGAAAGATCCCGAGTTGGTTTCCATCTTCGCCATTAAGAATGTGGCAAAGACCAAAAGGTATTTAATTGATAGTATATGTTCTTCATAACTATCAATTATGAGCATACAATACAAATCAGTATCCAGACATTTTGCTTTACCTGCTCAACAATCAAGTTTAAAACTTAAGATGCCCTAAATTTGCAGTAATCATGTTTAAAGCCCATTTGCACTAAACCTATATTAAATAACTATTTTGATTGAATCACAAAGTTCCAAAATCATTGGGGTTTTTAAACTTCAAATTTGTCACTAATTTCTCTACTGAAGTGGTAAGAAGTAAAAGTGTTCTTGCTAACAGGACATGATGCATATATGCTAGCTACCATAATCTTTCAACTCAAGTAAATCCTCAGAGACATGCAAATACAGAAAATCCCAGGCGCCCATTTAGCCTTTGACATAAACTGATTTGGTTAAATATCTAAATCATGTAGAAACTACAACAGGATATTGTAAATTCAATACAAAAATAGCATGAATATATCCAAATTAATATATTATGTTAAATTTATACTATAGGAATACCATAGATATACATTTACCTACATATACCAAAACTATTTTTAGAAGCGACTTGATAGAACACAATACAGAAATATATTTTTAAAAAATCAAATAATGAGAATGTAAACCACTATGAAAGAAATCATCAACATGTGCTACAACTAATAAGACTGTTGGGAATTAAACATCAACTTCTAGGCCTTAATCTTACTTCTTTCCCATATATTAAAGTAGAATAATTACAAGGAATAAATTAAAGCAATGAGATGTAGAACAATACTGTAAGATTAATGATCAATATAACACTATAAATGATAATAGTACTGTTTAGAACAAAAAGTACAATAGTTTACAATTAAATGTTCAAAAGTATCCAAGAGATATCACCATTTGATAGCATCAGGTTTTCACTTGCATGTTTTGAAAATATGGATGAAAAACAGGCTTTTCAATGTGAAGTCTGAATAAGCAATGCAACCTTTATACATATTTATATAAAAGTCTGACTCAGAATTGCAATTTAAGCAAATCAGAGTATATTCTATCTCTACAGGTTGACATTCATATCAAACAAGATTAGAATCCGATCTACTATTTGTTTCTGTTTCAGTAACCAACTACCTGATACAATTAGCAAGTCTTACATAAAGCTTCTCAGAAAAGGCTGTTATGGAAATTGATTTCTTCCTAGCTTTTATTAACCCAATAACTGACTTACTTCCCCCTCCCCCACTTACACTTTCTTTTACCTTTTCGGGCTTATTACAAAACCGAAACTATATATGAATTACCTTTAGAATTTCATTTTTAAAAGCCCAGATATTTTTTGCAGCCTAATAAAACAAAGATGTTTATCCAGAAATTTTCTCTTTAAAAATAACAAATGAAGCCACAGGAAGCCCACATTTACTAAAACATCACCCAAGCAAGCTGCAGACTGAGACACAAAGAAACCGAAAAGCATTCCACTTCCCACTCCACCCGCTAACGAGTATATTTCATATAATACTTGTTCTGTTAAGTCAGCCAGCCAGCCAGCCTAAGATTTTCCCCTTTAGCCATAGCCCAGTAGAACTGCTACAAGAGCCTTAATTCATCTCCGTTTCAGAATCTCCGTGGTTGACGTAGACCGTCCTCCAGGAAGTGCTCCAAATCTGGCTTTTCCACACAGAGCTTCGTCCAGACAAGTTTCGTTTGCAAGTTTCCCAGGCAAGGGGATTTCCACCCCCACCCCCGGCCTCCCTTTAAGAAAAGGGGAAGCAAAACTGCGGCCCGTTTCCACTGAGGACAACCCACCACCACCACCACCCCAAACCCTGGCAGGGATTCACAGATGTTGACCTTCACCTCGACTCTCCAATCCACCCTTGACCTCTGCAAGCCATCCTCCGCTGCATCTGCTTTGAAAGGGAAGCCCTCCAGCAGTCTCGCCCTTCCCAGGCTCTGGAAAGCAGGTGCGAGCGCCTGGCAAGGCAACAGCCGAGCAACTCTTGACTGTGGCGCCCAACAGCCGTCTTCCGCGCTGTCTGTCTTACACCCGTTCGGGTAACAAAGAGCCAGGAACCGAAGGGGGGGGGGAGAGAGAGGGAGAGGGAGGTGCCTTCAAAACCCTTCCACCCCCGCCGCCGAGACACTCCTCCTCCTCCTCCTCCTTACAAGCCAGTCGCCACCGAGCTACTCACCCAGCGGCCGCGGCAATTCGGCTGGTTCAGGACTGGGCAGCTGCTTCCCCAATTCTACGGAACCGGGAGCCCGGGTTACTGCAAGGCCTGCGTGCCCTTGGCTGCCTGGCGCTGAGAACGGCCGGGGGAGGGGAAGGGAGCCGTCTCCTCCTGCCGCAGGGGCTCGCGGCGGCCACTGCAACCAACATTCACGGCCAGGAGAGCCCCCACCCCGCCCCCCGCCCCCCCCCCCCCCCGCGCGCGCCGAAGGGGAAACCCGGCCACGGAGCGTCCCGCGTTGGCCCGAAACCCCGACGCGCGAGAAGGCGCCGCTTCCTCCGCCGGTCGCTCGCGCCGCTGCTGCTGCTGCTGCTGCTGCTGCTTTGCCCTCCTACTCCCTTCAACTCTGCTGCTCCGGCTTCTCAGCTGCCAGAAGCAACAGCCTGGCTCCCCGAGGTGGCTCCGCCCACTCTGTAGCGCGAGCGGGGCCTCACGCGCCGGGCCTGCCGAGGAGGAGTGAGGAGGTGGGTGGGGGGGGGGGCAAAGGAGGCGGCCCTTACGCGCGCGGGTTTAAAGGGCCGGTGAATGGCGAGCGAAAGGCCGGAGTGAGAGAGGCTGGAAAGGGGAGGGGGCGGGGCCTCGCCAGCTAAGCAGCCAGCGCCTCGCTGCACGTGGACTGCCAGCGTTGCTGCACGCTGCCCGCTTCTCTTCCCCCCCCCCCCCCCCCCCCCCCCCCCCCCCCCCCCCCCGAGTAGGGAGGTCCCCGCGAGCGCAGAGGGAGCAGGTTTCCTTCACGAATATCGAGGATAAACCAAAAAAAAGCGGCGGGTTTTTTTTTTAGTCGGCCTGAAATGCCCCCGTTTTGCATTCCTTTTATTTTGGGACGTTCTCATAAAACATTCCTCCTCCCTCCCTTCTCTCGCTCAAGGTAAGCAAAACTTGGGAGACGCCCTTTTCCACCCCCAGGAGAGGTGCTCTTCAGTGCAAAATAGCGTGGCACGTAGGAACAAGCTGGCAGTCCGAATTTTGAAGTCTTCCCGAGAATTTCTCCTAATCCTTTTAATCCCAGCTCTGGTTTGTTTTGCTTTTTTTTTTTTTTTTTCTGTCGCTTCCATTCCGGGAGAAAAATTCCCTTTTGCGAAAACTTTCTTTGGTGTACAGGACTTTCTAGAGCAGGTTTTTTTTTAACTTGTTGAAGCAAAAGTAAAATTGGATTTGGGGCACTCTAGTTGTTTAGTCTTTCATCTGCCAGAAATGTGCTTATTTTTCATTCGGCCTATCTCATATTGAATTGTTTTCAAGTAGAAGAGTATGAAACAGAAATTCGGGTTTTGCTCCAAAACCTGGAATAAACCCCATTTGCAAAGGATTTACAGAAGTTCAGCTTGTTCCAGATTTTGGCTGAACAAGATAGTGTTAGAGCCCCTCCCAGTGGCATCCATTGCAAGTAATTAGGAAACCAAGGTGATGTTTGTGATGATGTCATGATAGAGAGAGATGCCTTCATTATATACCTTCTGACAGGCATGCAAGTTGTTGCATTACAAGATGATAATAAGCACATTTCGTCATATTGCCCCCTTCCTGCCTCAGAAGAGGCCCATAAGCCCTCCTCTTATCCTTTATCTGCCAAGAAACAGCCATTTGGATGAGAAGGGGACTCTTTAAAATCAGTAGAAATCATTGCCTGTTTTGTTTACTAACTTTGCACTTTTCCAGACAATATGAAGCAAATGCTAGAAATTTTCCAAACTCTTCTATAAAATGGGAAAAAAATGTTTTAGTGATGAATGTCTATGGAGATTCTCAGTCAACCAGGTCATGGTTGTCCCAAAGGTGCTTTTTCAAGAGGCAACTAGACTTTCTGGTTTTTCCTTTGAAGATGTTTCGCTTCTCATCCAAGAAGCTTCTTCAGCTCTCTTTCAGTTTTAGTGATGAACTACGCCATTTTCTGCGTTTGTTAGCATAGCCAGCCGTGCTATCCTGTCCACCTCACAGGATCACAATAAGGCTCACCTCTTACCTGATACTGATTGCTTTGGCTACTGGAATGTGTGAGAGTAGGAATACAGATGAGAAGCCAAACTTCCAACAGCAATGTTTATTGCAGATAATGACTCAGTAAAACCAACATGCAACTTCCGGCTGATAGCCCCTTTTAAAGGAAAACTATCAGCCTTTAACCAATAACATTAAAATATGTCCCGCACTTGCGTGGCAGAAGATAAGTCTCTGCTCACGCCTGAGTGGACATAAAAGCTACCCTGCATTTTTCCTGAAGAGATAGACTTCGCTCCCCACTGTGTCCTTTCCCATATTCTGTCATCATAAAATGTGTCCGTGTTCTTTGAGTTAGGATGAGCTTCCTTTCACTGACTTCAATGGGAAGGCAATTTCTGATGTCACATGGGCTCTAGTTATGCTACCATAAGAACATGATCTTTGATTAGAGGGATATAAAATACTGCCTGAAACGTGTTCCTCCGTGTGCCTCTCAAGTTCTGCCCCCAGCTCCACCCTGTTGTTGCCTGTCTCAATTGACAGAATGTTCCACCAGCATATTTCACTAATTGTCATGGTGTCCTATCTCAACTTGCATCTCATTCCTTCCCCTCCTAAAGTTTTTCAGCCTGCAGATCATGAATAAACCTGAAACTTCAAAATACTAGTGAGCAGAGCCTTTTCAGCATGTGATGATTTCAGAATAAAAAATCCTACAACTATTAGGTGTGATTTCAGCCTCCTCAAAAAAAAAAAAGAAAAGAAAAAGACAATGCATCATAAGATGTGATACAAATCAGAATGCAAAACTGTGTTCCGATAGGTTTTTTTTTGTAGACGATTTGAAAAAAAAAATTGAAAACTAACCATCATTAAGAGAAGCTATGACCGTACTGTATCCCTTATTATACAATCCTTGTTTGTCAATATTGAGTGAATACCTACTGTATAAAAATTGGGAACCAAGCTTTTTCTGTAACCACAACCACCAAACAAGTTTATTTTTAGCAGTATGGTCAAAAGATGCAAAAATTTCTTACCTATGTATATTTGCCTAAGATAGTATCTTTAAATGACTTTAATTGCTTAAATGAAGGGTGAGTCCTACCAAGAAAACAAGGGCATTCATTTAAGAAAGCCACATCTGAAGATAATTTGGCAGATTTTTTTCCCAACATTTTTTGATGGTTGGTTTTTCTCTTTCCTCAATTATAGTTATTATGAGCCAGAAACCCAGTTCAAAACACAGTTCTGAAGAAATGGGGAATTATTGTTAGAACAGTACAAATGAGACATGTGACATTACAAGCCAATTATACTTTTCAAGGTCACAAAAGTCTCCCCATTATATTACAGAGTCTGATTTTCTAAATGGGGGATTGTATTAAGATAGGGCTGTAGTACCAACAGCCGCCTTTCAGTAATCCATTCCTTTGACCAAAGAGTAAGAGACAATAGATGGGACAGTGAGACAGGTATACTACCCAGGAGTGGGGGAAAAATGATCCAACCAATTCAGTAGGCTGTTTGCAATCATACCTCCTTAAGAAGATCTTAGGTATATAAAGTGATACTTCTGATCTTGGGGAAAGAGACCCAAAACACTCTTTAAGAGAATTGTATTCATTCAACTACTCAGAGCAAATTACATTGATGAAAACCCTCTATATTATACAGATAGTCTTCGACTTTTGACCACAATAGAGCCCAAAATTTCCATTGTTAAGCAAGGCAGTTGTTAAATTTGATTTGCCCCATTTTATGACCTTTCTTGTCACAGTTGCTTAATGAATCACTGCAGCTGTTAGTAACACAGTTAAGTGAATCTGGCTTCCCCATTGACTTTACTTATCAGAAAGTTGCAAAAGTTGATTACATAACCCCCAGGACACTGCAGCCATCATAAATACACGCCAGTTACCAAGCATCCAATTTTTTATCATGGGACCATGGAAATGCTGCAACAGTCATAAGTGTGAAAAACAGTTATAAGTCACTTTTTTAGTGCTGTTGTAACTTTGAACAGTCATTAAATGAATGGTTGTAACTCAAGGACTACTTGTATAGTGTTTGTTATATTGTTTGTTAATATTTCAGGCTTTACCAGGGATGCAGAACTTAAGGGGCCTCTATGGCTACAGAAGCTTTTCTTTCATTCCCCAGACTATCTCAAATTAGTAATTTGTAATGTGGGAGAAGGAAAAATATTAAATACTAGGAGAATAATTGAAATCAGTATTTGATCTCTGTAGATTAAAATAAATGAAATAAAAACTATTTTTGTCTTCATTCAACCCTCCTCTTTGTCTTGTGACTCCACCTATTGTTTGAGATACAGCCCATAGCATTCTATTCCAAAGTCAAACAAGGCCTTGGAGAGAAAGAAATTGCACATATCCCTTATCTATCTTAACTACTCCAAGAATTGGCAGTGGCCATCCCTAGCTTCTCTTTCATTCCTATTGGAAGTAATTAAAAATCTGATTTGGATATGCAAAGCTCTATCACTGACATGAAACCTTTCTCAACAGAGCCATAGAGTGTTATATAGAATGCACTTTTGTTACTCATTTTCTAATCTTTGGAGTACATTTCCTGACTGCAATTGAGAACATAAAAGGGATTTTTTTGTGTTTCAATCTGTATTTTGTTTAATCCTCCAAATTACTTTTTTATAATGGTAAATGCACATATAATTCATAATGATACTCTTTTTTCTTTTTCTTTTTTTTTAGTGAAACTGATTTATTCAGAAAGACCAAATTTTTATAACAGGATATAATCTGTTTCGGCAACAGAACGCAAGAGTTCACTCTGGCTTTGTTTCCTTCCTTTGTTTTGCTTTTCACGTTTCCCCTGGAAACCCCACATCTAATAAATATGGAATAATATTCTACAGTAAATTACATAATGGCATTCTTACTTCCAACAGTAATGCAAAAATTATAGTGAAGCATTGGC